AATCAGTTCTTCGTCAGTCGCAATTTCATACAATCAAAGGCAGTCTAAGACTCTATACCGTTCTTTTGGGTTGATATTTCAATTCATTGAAGATCCTTGAAATGCAAATCTAAACACTTTGTGGTCGGACAGTAAGACGTTACGATGTACATGTAATAATTACAAATACGGAACAAACAAACAAAAAAACAAAACAAAAAAACAAAGCAGACAAATTCAATATAAAGATGATATGTATTTAAGGAAAAGGTGATGACCCAGATCCCTCAGCATGAATTATGTAGAGTCGTTACGCTCGCCTAAATACAGTCTAAATAAAATTTCGAGAGGCTCTCGTATCCTTGCCCGTGCTTGCTATATGGAGGGGTTAACAACTTTCAAACTGTGTAAACTTCAATACTTCCCTCTACCGCTGGGTTGGAATACTGTCTTTTTGTGGCAGTGGAATAGCTCATTGGGTAGCTTGTTGGACTGTCGTCTGCTAGGTGATTAGGTGCCCTCGGGTTCGAATCCTCCTCAAAGTAAGAACTGCCTGTGGCAGCGCTTTCGAGAACCTTATTACCAGACTTTCGTTTCGGTTATTTTATTATCTTTGATTTTAATGTAACCCATATTTGGTTAATTTTAATTAGACTGTCTAAAGAGTTACGACACTGCAACCTGCCACCACAAGATCAAATAACATCTTTTGTGTCTAGATAGTACTCCAGCAGCCGGAACAGGATGTCCACTGTCGCTGTAGGACTGGAACTTTCGTGCAGCATAGACAAAATAAACACACCGTCCGCCTTTAGATAGTTTGTCACAAAACTGTTTATGAAACGTTTTTCCAGTACAAGTTTGGTAACCCTTTTTCTCTCACTCTCTGATAAATGTTGAATTTTCTCCCTTGGAGTAGCCTCGTCGCCTAAAGCCTCATTTGATTTTGGTGGAGGCCACATGTAACCGTTGAAACCAATCGTGAAAAATTTTCTTACAAATTTATACCGTGGTCCGTAGAATAATCGTTGTCGAAAAGCTTTTATAACACCAATAATGGTAAATATTAGCAAGAAAATAAACCAAAACCATTGAAGAGCATAAATCTTTTCGATGAAAATGTTCATTGGTAAGACACATTGGACTGTAAAGGGCAGGACATTTTGAAGTTGACGGATTTCGAAGTCACACCAAGCTACCCGTGGAAAAATTTCCAAATCTTCCCAATCTTGCCAATTTGAAGCTAATTGAGAAACCTTTATACCATAACTAAAGAAATCCATATCCAGAAAACTGGACAATAGAAAGAATTGGGCCAGAATCACTGTCATGTACAGCAGTTTGTTGAAACAGAACAAAATGGACACAAAATTTCCTGAATATTTCATGCAGTTTAGTCTTTGGAATGGACCACAGCCATTGCCTCTCGTGCTACAATGTGCCAGATGTCTGTGGATGAAACGTGCCAATGACGTCATTCTGTGTTCATCCTTGTCGTCTTTTTTCTTCTGAAATATATAAAAAAAATCATACATAATTTAGACGTAGGAGGCAGTAGTTAACGATGTGGTCTGGTATCCACCATGTCCCTCAAACTCTAATTACATTATGCAAAATCCCGATTTTTTGACAAATCCGACGTGTGTTTAGCGTTTTGATTAAAGTTGCAGGAGGCAGTATCCTCTAATAAATTAACGGCCTGAAAATGCATAAATACCCCTCTACGTAATTCACAGCTCACGGCGGCACGAACAAAGACCCCATATCACCAGTGGCGAATCCAAGGGGCGATGCAGAGGGGCCACCCCCCCCCCCCCCTCATAGACCCGAAAGCAAGGTTTTAGATTAAAAAACTAGGTTTAAAATTCGGTCTATCTTTGATATTTCGCTCCCCCACCCCCTCGGAGTAAACCTTGGCTCCGCCACTGCATATCACTGTCCGGGGTAGGCTTGATATTTAGTTTATTTCAAACTTTAGTGACAAGAATACAATATATGTATAATACAAAGGTAGTTGAGAAATCGAATGGGTTGTGCGTTCTCCCACTTTCCTAGTATATATTTTCTCACTGCACACTGCATGGTGTTGACCATCGCAAGGTGCAGAAAAGTAGGACGTAAAACATAGTTTTGTTTTAAAAGCTTATCCGTTTACAAACGCATATATAAGAAGCCATGAATTTCCATTTTTCAATTCATTTCATTGCCATTTCCACGTTTCTGAAACCGAACCTGCCAAGCCCACATGCCGGTTCACCTATCGGACAACATATATCACCTTACCTTTGGTGCTTTATCATCAACAAAGGGTGTATCATTAGCACCATTTTCTTCTATCGTTGGATTGATGGGCTGTTCTTCGCTGTATTCCTCCATTTCTTTTCCAATTTCTAATTCTTCAACTATTTTCATTATTCTATCTGGATCCAAGCCTGATATAAACAAGGGTGCGCTCGATTGGTGAGTACGTTCGGGATTCATGGAATCAATCGCAAGTTCAATAAAGCGAGATGTTACAGGGTTCAGAACGTGTTCCATGTGTGCCGAAAAATAGTAGATGTAGACAGTTTTCAAAATGGTGGAGAAACAGATTTGAATTTTGAGGCCAGAATTGGAACAGACAGAACCTGTTCAGAACTCACCGATCAAGCGCCACCCAGGAGGTTTCTGCTTGTTAGATTTCTGGTTAATGCGATCAGTTTCAATACTTTTGGAGGAAGGTTGTAGCCAAGTAGGAAAGAAGGCTATGAATTTGATGATGTCATTTGTTTGGAGAGTTCAGTCTTGGGATTCCATATGATATGAGACAGAACGCCACTGATTTACCATCAAAGATATGTGGTTTCTGAAATTTCAGATGACCGAATGACTTCACTATTGCAGTCAGACAAGCCAAGTGGTTATTATGATAATGATGTCATAATCTTTGAAAAGGAAATCACACCGCCCGTTAGATTAATTTAAATATATGCTACGACCCGATCTGAGAAGCATACGACAGCCAAAAACTTCATAGGACCCATTAAAAAACCAAAGTACACTCACCAGAAAAACCCTTCCAAGACATCCATATTAGATTAGGCAGTTTGAACATCAAGGCTTGCAACAGGAGCAAAATGGATACCCATCGATAAAATCCAACCAACTCTTTTTCTTCGTCTGCATTTGGAAGCGCTCCTACCATGGGTACATTATACATGTCCGTGATGAAACAGTAGCTGTCTACATAAGGCTGGAAATGGTCGCTTTTATACTGGGCAGGCGTCCAGCAGTGGATGGGGTCTCCCATATATTGTTTCAGATACGTTGCCGAAGCCGCCACAATCAGTAATAATGGCGTTAAAAAATGACTAAGTTGATCTATATAATCGTCATCGTGAACTTTACTTCTGGATGCAAATTTATTTAGTATTGCCCATGCACCTTCCATTCTGAAATCAAAAAGGAGGTTTGAGTCATAAAAATGCTTTTTTCCAAATTAATCAACGGATAATATACTTGAAATTTGTAACAGATAGGTACGGAGCCCCTAAGTCGCAATTGTAAACATATTTATTTATTATTTCGTTTAAACGAAATAATAAATAAATATGTTTACAATTGCGCCTTAGGGGCTCCGTAGATAGGTGTATACAACCAGAATTACGTGGATATACAAATACTTATACAGACAACGTTTTAGACTAGAAATATTAAAACAGAACCTTTTTTTTCCTTTTTTATGTTTTGTTTTTAATATTTCTTTATCACACTACAAACAATTGGTGGTATTTCTATATAGCTCTTCAATTGATTATTAAGCACTATTTTAACAGTGGTATTTCTATATTGCTCTACAATTGATGTATTGAGCACTATTTTAACAGTGGTATTTCTATATCGCTCTACAATTGATGTATTGAGCACTATTTTAACAGTGGTATTTCTATATTGCTCTACAATTGATGTATTGAGCACTATTTTAACAGTGGTATTTCTATATTGCCCTTCAATTGGTGTATTGAGCACTATTTTAAAAGTGAAAATATTTTATTATTGCTTTGTACACTATACATCTAAACCAAGGCTATTCAGTGATAAGACTAATGTTAGATAAGGGACAGGAAATGAAACATTAAAATCCCATTAAAGTCAACACTAATCGCGAAGGGTCTTAATATGTGATACAAAAATATATGACGATAAGTGACGTCATTAAACACTCAGTTTCAGTTGAATTGCGGGAATCACAGACATCTGATCGAAAATTGGAATGGTGCAACTTGATGCTATCCCAATACATGTACAAAATGTAGAGAACTTCTTTTTCATAAAAGAATGAAGATTCAAATTAATTCAACATTTTCAGACTGTTGATGGAGAAAAAGGTGATATACTTACGACATAATGACTTCATATAACTCTTATAATTAAATTTTGGTTATTTAATAAATAAATCCAAGTTACTTTTCCACATTTATTTATTTACTTTTCTATTTATTATTTTATTTTAATATTTTGGTTTCGTTTAATGTAATTGAACCCTTTCAGACGCTCCAAAATTCAGCCTCGACAGTAGTCCGCCAATTCGATCAGATACCAGAGAGTCAACGGCTTGGAAGCTTTTTCTTTCATTGCAAAGAAGAATTCTCCAAATATTTGACCGTCGTGAGACAGGTTTACTCAAAAAGTCTCAGAATTTAGCATTTTCACTTTGTCACATATTTGGTACAATATTATAGATTACTAATTCGAAAAGTTTCAAAGTATCCTCAGACAATTTTCAATTAAAAATCAACTTACTGTAAAAGAAGTCCTTCTTCCTTAACTTGTCACTGTCGTTATTATAACTGCGATTTCTCCGAAAAGCGATTGCAAGTAATACCCTTTTCAAGCTTATATATCCGGGTTGATAAGGGGACTTGTATTCTATTTCATAATGTATATTTTGGTTACAAACCATTAAAATGATAAGAAACATGCTCATTCAATCGTTTATTAACCATATTACACCCCACTTGAAAATTAGGAAATTTATCGCTGTCACCTCTGTTCGTCTGTCCATCTACAGCTATGTATAACGATACGTCCATGGATTTCGTTTTTTGGGAACAATAACCCGAGTGCGCCTTCATAACTAAACTAAGGATAATGTGATTTTCAGTAAAATCAGTGAAAATAAATTGCATTACTATAAAAGCTATGAATTGAAAATATCGACGATAAATTCGTTAGAAAATATTCTTAGGAAGAAAAATATGTGAAATTTAATGTTTTTCATCAAAAGGACGCTCATTTTTCTGACCGAAGGCGTTGTTAAACCAACAAATTCCATGTAAACTAACGATGGTGAAATAACTGACAACTTATAATAACTTATAATACGATATCGATTTGTTTTTACTAAATAATTTTTGTAATAAAAAATTTCATTGATATTTTCATTGATTTTAATGTTTCACGCTGCGTTTTTAACAAATATCCGATAGGCCAGATCCATAAAGCGAACATCGTTGCTGATTACCACAAAGAACTGTTCCTATGGTCAGAATAAGACAGACCTTCTTTGTCTACTCTCGATGCTAAAATCTGTATAGTCATATCATCTTACCTTATTCACGGGAAACCATAGATTTTGCTCCAAAATGAGAAATTAATGCTTTTTATGATAGTCGATTTTATAAATTCAAATTATAATCTGTTGCCTCAGAAACGCAATACATTTTGATTAGTTTGACTAGTAATATATCTGGCTTATACACAAGACCTTAAACAGTAACAAACCTATACCAAATTATTGTCTTAAACAATCGGTTAGATTGGATTATCATAAGTGGATTAAATAACATTTAGAAACAAAGACTTCACAGAATAGTTCAGGCATGAAATTAACACGATCATTCTTAAAGAGATTGTAAAGAGGTTTTCTAAATTTTGTATGTGTATCGGGGACACTGATAACACCAATTTGCACCATTCAAATTTTCGATCAGACGTCTGTGGTTCCTGCAATTCCACAATAACTTATAGCCATTAATCACAAAATATGCTTTATCACTTAATCTCTTTGCGATTAGTGACGCAATCAAACACATAGTGTTCATGGAAGTGCGGGAACCACAGACGTCCGACTGAATAGTGGAATGGTGCAAATTGATCTATACAGAAAACCATCTTACAATCCCTTTAAATGGTTTAAAAGTTATCTGATACCATGAAATATCTGCAATCTGTATCTCTCTTCCCTTGATAGCGCATTATATTCACCGTGCAATTATACATAAACGAGGTAGACGAATTCAAATTATGTCTACCCATATAGGGAAAACCTTAAAGCTAGTTTTTATAACGCTCTTCACCTTGTCATGTAGGCTTAAAGGAGCACCTTCACTATCCGTTCATACTTTAGTTTCAGAAACAGATTGTTTTAGCTTACATAATCAGTTTAGCTTACATAATCAGTAATAGTGTTCACAGCTCATCGTCGAAATTTGAGACTTCAAATCCGCGTGTGTCCATAATTATTCACGTTTGAAAATTGAGACTGTGCCATATATGGAAAACACATATATAGAAATAGACAGTGAAATTTCTAGTTTGAGGCAGGCATATTTGAAGGGATTGTGCGATTTTCGTGCGTTTTAGTACTTCTTAAGACTATTAAAACACAGTAAAGACCCAAATCAATCCCCAAAAATGCCGACTGTTCCCCTTTAAGGAAATATTACACCCAAACCTCATGTCAAGCTAACCATATATTATAAATTGTATAATATTAAGGTCGTATGTATAGATTCTGCTCTCAACAAATTTAACATGCTAACTTAGATATGCTTAACTGTGTGTAAGACACAGTTTATACTCTCAAATAGACTCAGATTCCGCGGAAATGCCTAGGTCAAGGACAAAATCACATGTTTTTAGTATAACAAAGTAGAACAAGAGGAGACAAAGCCAATGCTCATTTAAGTCCCAAGATTTCGTCAGTTGTTTTCAATATATTTATTATCAGATTCTGTCATTTGTAAGATCGACTTCAATCACCCAATACCAAAACATAAAAGTTATATAATGAATTTACTTGAATGTATTTCATTGAGGTGTCATCGCCTTACCATGGTAATTTACCACTGCTGAACATGTTGAAAAAATGTTATGTGATGCTACACACGATCTCTTCAGTTGCTAGCAATCCAGTTATTCACAGATTCTGTAACCTAAATTCAGATGAGACGATATTAATATGAAATGTCAATTTCATTTAGGTATCAACGGGTATTCTTATGGTAATTTACCAATGCTGGCCATGTGTCAAGGAGAAAATGTGATACTATACATGATGACGCTAGGAAATAGCGACGAGGATGTTTCTGTACATTTCCATGGCAATAGATTAGAAGAAAGAAAAATAACGAGAGATACTGTTGGATTGATTTCTGGTATGACTAAAACCATGACCATGAAACCGGAAGCCTTAGGTAAGATTTGGTATCATATTTGAATATGATTGTTAACTAGAAATTGACAGTGAAGAAACTCCCTCCGTATGTGGTTTTATTTAGCAAGAAAGTCGCTTCACACTAATACAATACTACAGAAATAATACATTCGGAAATTTCTTTGGAAAATAAATTTCGCTGAAAAGTAACTCCTAAGGCAAAGGATGGCAGTCCCTTCGTTAGGGTGGGTCTGTGGGGGCTGGGCCCCAGTAAGTCAGAATTAAGCCCAAGAAAACCAAAACCTTCAGTTAAGCAGAGATTGATCCATTTAGTGTATTTGAACAAAATCAAAAAGATATAGAATTAGATAAGTTTTTGGTATTTCAAAATTGTCAGAAATGAGTTCTCTGGGCCTTTAATTCTTCAAATTTTCTGAGAGCAAAATCTGGGCCCCAGCACCAATCTATTCCAGGCGACGGGGCTGCAGAAGGGTCAAATCTTTATTACATACGAAATATATCGACATTTCGTAGTTACGAAATTCGGTGTGCTGCAGATAAGTAGTGATATCATGATCTTATAGCCGATTGTGACGCCATGGTGAACAATTGTGAATCGAGACTCGTAAAGTAGTCAGGTATTATAATAGGATTTAGTAACGTATGATTTCGTCGCTGTTTGACTTCCGCAATATCGTATTTTTATTCACTGTCGGTATTATGTGTGAATACACAGAGTATTTCGATGGAGCCCTCACTAAATATTGAATACTCAGAAAGAAACTTAATTTACTACTAGTTTTGAAACACTTTAGTTTTGTCCATATCTATCTTAGTTTATGCTGTGGAAGATGTGGGAGTCTAATTTCGAAACACCCGCTATATATAAATATATTTCACATAGTGAAAGAATGGCATGTGGCCCTCCTTAACAAATTCTGTCGCCCTTGTTCGCCCCTCCCACCTCACCTGTTTCCGAGAAACGCCACAGCCTTGTAGCAACTCGCTATTGGTAATAGTGTCTCATTGTAGACTGCTACTATTTTGGTGCAAAACCAAATATTGAAAAAACACAACGATAGCACAAACTCGAGTTCTATTTAACATTTCTATATCCTTTTATAATCAATGCATTGGATGATATTTCATCAGTGCAAATCTTGAAATTATCTTGGTGTGTGATATATAAAAACGGAACCTGAAGCATGTTGTCATTCAAAGGTGCACGCAGTCAGACAACTGACCTTTCTCGAACATATTTTGCAGGAATATGGGGAATTGTATCCACAATCCAAGAACAGTATTTGATGGGCATGACCGGGCGCTACAGTGTTAATACGTGTACGCCAGCATTCGGTTCCACCCGCGGACCTACCCCAACTGCAATGCCACAAACGCCAACTGGGATTAATAGCCCAACTAGGCGCTATGCTATAGGAGCTGTAGAGGTGGATTGGGATTATGCTGCCAAAGAAAGAGATCTTTTTAACGGCGTTGATTTGAATGACCCTCGAGCGTAAGTTGTTAATTTTATGAATCTTGAATAAGTCATCCACCTCATTATTTCAATCGACCCAGCTGGAAATGGGAACTGAATAAGTCACATTTCCTCATTATACCAGTCCAACAATCTGCAAAAGCAGACCCGTTTTATTTTTACTATAGTCACTTCACAGTACATTGAGGTCTAACGACCAGAGCCTTGAACATCCGTTAAATATACCCTTTTGACCTAACCTGATGACGTTTGCTTTAACCAGCCAATTCCAACTGGCTCAATTGGGAACACCCAATGAAAAGGCGTGTTTTATATTTTCACTTTCAGTGGACTTGATAAACTAGTCTATTGCTCCTGAAAATACGCGTCACAAAACGCCAGCACTGGGGAAGGCGTAAAGTTAGGTCTAATTTTAATTAGACTGGCTCGTCAAGAAAAAATTTGATGACCGACCAATTCCATTACTGCAACTAAACACTATTTATCTTTGCGCCTCCAAACATTCAAGTCTGGCAACGGGCTGGCAAGTCATTTATATATTTCTTTAGCGAGTATTGATTCTGTATTGTCTTAGTGACTCTGTATTGTCTTAGTGACTCTGTATTGTCTTAGTGACTCTGTATTGTCATAGTGATTCTACAATTAAGGGACTAATATCGAGCACAAGCATGCATTATACATGTTGAGGGTACTGTTAAAGTGAAAGATACTGACATGTTTAAATTTATATTTATGTAAGCCTGTAAATTCTATCGTTACAGTGATGCCAATGCCTACATAAAGAATGATCAAAGTTATATAGGCAGTGTTTATAAGAAAGCAGTGTTCCGAGGATTTGCTGATACTGCCTTTAAACAACAAATCAATCGAGGCTTCGATGTCAGCCATCTTGGAATTTTAGGACCAGTGATTAAAGCAGAAGTTGGTGAAAATATTGAAATTTTCTTCAAAAATCTTGTGAACAGCACGAGGAAGTTTTCCATCCAGCCTCATGGAGTACAACTTGATAAAGATAACGAGGAATTCTTCTACGAGGATGGGCAGAGGTATCAACCTCTCGTTGGCGTTGCTTTCGACCAGGCCAAGATTTACAAATGGTCTGTTCCCGCCAGTGCTGGTCCTGGACCAAAAGACCCTAATTGTATCACGTGGTTGTATTATTCAGCCGTTGATAAAATACGTGACGTAGAGTCCGGTCTGATCGGTCCGCTGCAAATTTGTCGAAAAGGCACTCTCAATGTTTATGGCCAGCGACAAGACGTCAATCGAGAGTTTCATTTACTTTTCAAAAAATTTAACGAAAATCAAAGTTGGTTTTTGGATGCCAATATTCTTAGTTCGGCGCCAGGAAGAGTTGGAACTGATTTTCCATCGGATTCAAGTTTCGAAGAAAGCAATAAAATGTTTAGTATCAATGGCGAATCGAATGGAAATCTAAAAGGATTGGCAATGTTGGAAAAGGAAACCGTAGCCTGGAATTTCTATGCAATCGGAGATAACGAAGCATTCAAAACAGTCCGTGTAAATGGAAATACGTTTACCAGACCCAGCGAACACAACGAACGAGCAGATGCCATGGAACTCTACCCAGGAACCTCAGAATCTGTTATAATGGAAGCCAATAATGCTGGGAAGTGGTTGATAACTAGTGATGTATCCACTCACGTCACAAAGGGAATGTCGGCAACATACCAGGTTATCAGGCCAAGGTAATAGTCTTATTTTTCTTTTGGGCAGGGGGGTGAAGTTATCTTAGATCAGATGGTTATCTATCTAAAGTTGTTAGGGGTAAATCGAATTACAATCTATGTTTTCTGGGATTCTGGAAAATCAAATTATATTTGTTATAGTGGCGTCAGTCAATGTTTCTGGATTTCCAGAACATAGATATCAGAAGGTATATCGAAACAATGTAAAAAGAAGCTCTGTAAATGTCCGGAGTTTGAATATTTAGGATATCTTGACAATAGGTGTACCCGTAAAGGCAATTGAACGCCAACATTCTAACCCTCACCACGCTAAGTAGATTACACCCCATAACTCCCCATCCCTCACACCACTGCTAGTTGGATACAATATTGCGTATGAATTGGTTAGAGAAGTGGTCACATGTGAAGTTATAGTGAGTTGTTTTGATACCCTTTACGCATCATCTCTTGACGCCAATATTCAATACCTTACCACGCTAAGTGGATTACCCCCCCATAACTCCCCATCCCTGCTAGTTGGATACAATATTGCATATGGATTGGTTAGAGAAGTGGGCACAGGTGAAATTATAGTGTAACAGAAACTGAATTAAACTATGAATGAGTGTTGTTACATTTATAGATATTTTTTTTAATTCTTAAATATTTATATTTCATTTTGAAGGTTTATGGGGCCAATAAATCCTTTAAACTTTCATGATCAATCTTGGTCACTAAACGACATAATAAATCAGCCCCATTAGTTTTAAAAGGAAATAATAACCCGAGGATATTACTAGTAACTTTTATGTTTTCGCAATATTTAAAACTATTGTCAAGCCTATGTGATTGAGGTATTCTTGGGTCGAGAATGACGTCATAATTTTGCAAGTGCGCGTTTCAATATCCGACCCACAGGCTTTTATAAAGATTTATTAGTTATTGTTAAAAATACGCACTCATCGTAAATTACATCTTGATATTATTTTCATTTCGAATATTTATGTACGTTACTTCACTCAAGCGTGAATCTGAATGCATTTATTCTAAACATGTTTAAATATCTAACTTCCCGTGTGCAACAGGTTGTGCACGTTAAAGATCCCTCGACAATATAGAAAAAAAAGTACGATAACCTCGCTGTCCTGGCAGAATTTTCTTCATGCGCCTTGCATGTCTTCATTAGCCAACACGGTGCAGAAAAGCACACGGCAATATTTTAGGGAGAATTGTTCAACAGCAAGTCAGATTGGTTTAAGAAATACCGATCGCTCGACAAAATACGCCGGACACGGGCAGACGAGCGAAAATATATAATATTTTTGATGCTGGCAATTGGTATTTCTTACCGGCGTAAAATCACATAAGCGGGCACATGAGCGAATTTTTTGAGAGATTTCAAATCCGCTCATCTCCCCTCGACATAAACATGCATCGCCTCATTCTTATACCTACTCGGATTGATTTCCCACCCTCTAAATGCTATTATATGCTTGCTTTCTTTTTCAGAGGTGTGTAGCGATGTAAGATAAGTGGGCCAATCAGCCATCAGCTACCAGCGTCATGTTACATGACAGCAGAGAATGTTGGTGTGTATTGCACACTTAAATTGTGTTATTTATTAAAAGTTACATAAGCAAGGTTTTTCTTTCACAAACACATAACAATAGGGTAGGCTACTTGGGACACGGTAAAGCGTTTATAAACAGTTTTAGCAACACGGCCAATTGGACCCTAACCAGGAGCTGTGGAAGGTCAAACATGTGCAACAGTGGATCTCCAGGTAGATTTTTTGGACTTGATCTCAGATGATCTCTAGAACAATATTAGTCTCAAACATCTACTTCTATTCCGGCTTCTGATAGGAGGAGCGGAAAATCGACACAAAACAGGACCTAATTTTCTGTCTTTACACTAGCCGACAACAGTAAAAATATCTATCAGAGGCTTGAATAGAGGCAGAAGTTTCGATATATCATTACTCATCCCCAGAGACACAATGCGTACTATGTATGTACATACGCATATGCAAATCACCTAAACTTCTAAAGCTAGTCACCCACAGGTACGTAATATGCTTGTGCAGGAAACGACTATTTTTACACTTTACATTCCGCTTCTATACATCAGTTTATATTTCCCAAAATCTGGAAAGGATTGGTAATTCAGATATCAAGATCTAAATCTAAACCAAAACAGGAATTTCAAAAGGACTGGTGGAGTGGTGTTCCGAGTCCTTCTAATTCTTCAAAAACACAATATGGTTATTTCCCTTGATGTGCAAATTCATTCCAAACACTTCCAACAGGCGCGGGCACGGTCCAAATGACATGAAGTAAATGGGTTTTTAATCCCTACTCGTTTGCACCTAATGAGACAATGAATACGGTCAAAGACATGCAGTGTACAATGAGGAAAATTGTGCCAGAACAGTGGGAAAAGCCTACTCGATTTCTAACTGTCGAAGGATCGAGCCTCGGTTTATGGTCACATCTGAGCGATGCTTTTTCCATGCCAATCCATCCGATCTACATCATATACAGGGGGAGCCGGGTCGAAAAATCCGAAAGTATTATCTCTATCTAATCCGGGATTGAATTCCCCACCTCCAGGTTCGTCGCCAACAATCGTAAAGCTGTGGCTCCCGGGAATAGTATAGGCGTGTATGGAAAGAGTTTAAGCAAACTCCTAAAAGGGAATGCAAAGATGTTTTCTATTCCAATCGCTATATATGCACGAGAAGTAGACAAATTCATAACAGATTAGGCGTCTACCGAAATATAGAATGGGGAAAACCTACCCACAGTTAAAACGAATACCGGCTTTGATTTAAAATTCGCTCTTTACCTTGGCAGACAGTAAGCCTGAGTAAATATTACGCCCTTCAGGTTGGTAAATCCTAATGTCAACCACACCGTCATGAAATAAAATGTGTTAAAGGGATTGTAAAGATGTTTTCTGAATTTTTTAGGTGTATCGGAGACACTGATAGCATCAATTTGCATCATTCGAATATTCAATTAGACATCTGTGGTTCCTGTATAGAACTGTAATTCCATAAATAAATAATTTTATGACAACACTAATAACAAAATATGTATATCACATAACACTTGGTTTTGGTGGAATTACAGAAACCACAGATATCTGATTGAAAATTCGAATGGTAATAATGGATGCTATTAGTGTCCCCGATACACATAAAAAATTTAGAAAACCTCTTGACAATCCCTTTAATAAGCGTCATCTCGTATCCAATTACAGTACAAAGAGATCAAATATTCATACACAGCTCTGGAGCATGAACCCATTTTAGAAAAAAACTAAAAACGTGTCAAAACCTTGACATCCATCTGTTCACAGATATTTTTTGAAGCTGCGATCTGTTTCGTTCCAAACACTAAAATCGATTTCAAAGTTAGTTTTCTTAACTTTTCTTCATTTGTTGACCGGGTGAGCTTTGAACCCGAGACCAGTTGGTAAGGATATTAATGCCACTGTTCATCTAAAATCTTCCTTCTTCGCACACATCATGCCAATGTCCGTTAAATGTTTCTATCAGAAAGGTGGGGCGCAAAGTTCATTCCATAACATGTCATTTTGTAGGAACTGTCGACTAGAGAAATATGGAACCATCTTTCCTTTAATGATGCAGTCAACAATTCATCATCTTCAAAAGGCCTTTGGAAATGATTCAATTAGAACAAGAAATCAGATTGTGAAAGTGCGACAGTGAAAATATAACATTAAAAAACTATCGTAATTTTCTAGAAGGGAGTCCTCTAAATATTTCTATAATCTTTTCTGATGTATCTGTTTCTTATTAATACGTGACATTGGGTTTCGTGAAATTGTGATTTAATCATTTTCGTTTGTCAATATTGGTTCGCTAATTGAATTTACAGAAGAAAAATCATTTTATTGACTGAATTTAACGAGACTTCTCAAATTTAGCTGATTAGCGAGAGAATGAGTTGACATAGTCAATATTCAGAGCTGCATCAAAGCTTTTGATGATATTACTTGTATTTACCATACGCCAACGTAGCGGGGGCGACGATTTGGGAGTTAAGAAACTAAATAAAGTAAGAAACAACTATATTTTACAAGGATATTAACTTAAGTTCATAGTTAATTAACTTTTCTACCAGCTGGTCCTTGGTCAAACCTCTTGGCATTGATCTTTCCCTGTTAAATCCGTATCCATTTACAGCTGGGTTGACTGGAATTATGATGGAAGATGACTTATTCAAGATCATCGGACTATCACACGCCGATCGAGAATTGACGTAACCAAGCAAATGACGTCGTGTAATGAACCAACGCTCTAACCGACTGTGCTATAGAACCTTTATTTTGAATTGTAATATGAGTTATTATTTGGGTATACTTGTATATCTTTGCTTATGCGCTTGAAGTCTAATTTTTAGACAGTCAACGTGTTGGGGCAAGATGTAGGAGTTCTCATTTAATATGAATTATGAATTCAAATATGGAAAATTAACCCGATTTCTAGTCCAGCTGCCCTCATGAGGATTGGACATTCAAATATATACGTTGGCAGCATGAGATGTGTTTGACATTTGCCGTGGAATATTGCTCTCGCCATGTATGATCTAGTATAATTCTTCTTTTGGCTTAATAGGCTCATAAACTATTGTTATTTTACTCCGAGGTTGGCCTATTACCAGATTAATACAGGCGCTGGCCTGATTTACTACTGCTCATTGCAGAGGTTTGTCTGTTGTTGTACTATTGTCAGCTCATTGCAGAAGTTTACCTGTTGTTGTTCTATTGTCAGCTCATTGAAGAGGTCTGCCTGCTATTGTACTATTGTCAGCTCATTGCAGAGATTATAGTAAGCTGTTGTACTATTGTCAGCCTGTCAATGTCAGTACGAGCTGACACCAACACTGGGTTGTATTGCCATTTATGTCCTGTTCATGTCATCCGAATCACATCCCTGAGAAAGATGACATTTTAACAGTTTAACTAAGTCGAATAATGACAATGATGGTACGGAAAATCAACTACGTTAGTTAACTATGTTAGGAAGCGTTTCAGATCTCGGTTCCTTTCTGATAGTCAATTATGCCAATATGCCAGACAAGACACCATACCTCGTATATCAAATTAAAAACCTTGTTATATTTTCATATCTTTTTTCGTTTTCTGATAATTTTGGTATCCGTGGTAATCTAACAAGTTTTCTACCAAAGGTTTGTCCCCAAGGTAATATTTTAACCAACCAAAGCGTGTCATGTAAGACCCAAGGGTTTCTCCCTCTTCTGAAATTGTGAGATATCGAAATCTAAAGTAGAGCAATATGACAACCTCTTAGGGTTTTGCAATAATTTTGCATAATTTCTTATTTTTTTTATCAAGAAACGGGTTTTACATGACACGCTTTGGTTGGATAAAAATAAATCATTGGGGCGGGCCTTTGGTAGAAAACTTCTATCGACACCCAATCCAATTGAAACCTAAGTACAAAATAGTGACCACCGTAGGATGCCTTGCATTTTCTTTACGCTCATACATCGTTTATGGCGACTTTAACCCACAGAACTAAATTTCGCCGTAGCAGCACAGTATAGATTTCTTTCCTGTGAGACAGAGGTTTAACGAGGGAGACGAAATATATCATGGAAAAAAATCAAACGAATTTGCAATCTAGTTTTAATTGGATTGATCCACACCTGGAAAATGGAAAACTAAGATTGTTATATTGTTTATTTGATATTCATATTGACATTAGTTCAAACTGTAAACTAACAGAGTTAGTGAATGGGAATAATTCAAAGATATTGTAGGTAGCATAGCTTGTTACCAGTATACGGGGAGTGAAGCCTGCATTAACCTACGTTGATGGATCAGGTCAGGAGTTTCAAGGCATCGAGTAAGCTTTTACTTTGACAGTTATACAATTCCATTCATGTTGGTCTCATTCCTCCAAGATTGAGCAGTCGAGAATTGCAATAAAGACAGTCCAGCATTGTGATGAAGTATGCTACTGTTTACGAGTCCAGAATGCTACTGAGTGATCGTGTTTGTTAGGTGTATGCCGGCACAAACATTCTCTCATGAGACAGCCTGCCAGGATCTCAGCTGTATTGCTCTAAACAGTTTATTTTTAAAGTAATGACTAGCGAATTGCAATATGGGCTTTCATGCTTTGAGGCATACCGTTTTCTAGACCTATTACGAATTTTATTCGTGTAAACAGTCAGAATTATATCCAAAGCTCTATTATGTACTTCACTAGAATTGACCTCGCTGTCCCAAACACTTATACCGTACATGGGTATCATAAGCCGAGATAATGTCCAGTATGGCTTAACTATAGACTACTTTGAAGGCTTAAATTGATCGAGTCTGATCTCATCACGAAATAACAAGGGCTCAAGTGGATTACAGTTGGTCAGAAGAGTGGTACATTTGGTAATCAGTAATCCATATGAAAGGAATTCAATAAGGTTATAGTGTCTCATCTCTATACAAATTAACCTGCAGTGGTTCCTGTAATTCCAGAAAACGTCCGAATTATGACGTCACTGTCGCATATATCATTCAAACCACACCTTGTAGTCACCTGTTTGCTTCATTTTAAACTGATATTGGACCACTTATCGTTGGACAGTTTATCTACTATTTACTGAGCACTGGCGCGAAAAGGTGATTGAATATGTCTTGTCTGCAATCCCTTGAACACGATATTGGACCTCTAAACATCTTATATTGATCCCTAACGAGGTAACGATTGGTCTGATCCCTAAATTGTCCACTTATTACATGCTTAAACGATTCACTTGCAGATAGCTGTTTCCGTTAACCTGACTCGGATCAAACCTCGCATCGTTACTGAGCGGAGACGGACTACATTTAAGTCCGTTGCTTACAGTGCCCGGTTTCAAGCGAATATCCGTGAGTTTGATATCATTAGAACTAGTTGCTGTCGATCGGAAACAGGTATACCTTGCTGACAACGAAAACTTACGAAGTGCAGGATCGTCTGGTTTATAAATACGTAAAATTCTTTTGAACGCCATTTTGAATTTTGATGAGAATAAACTATAGATGATAGGATTACCAGCACTGTTTGTGTACATCATTATCCGTGCAAACCACATGATATTATAATACGACTCCATTCCTAGCTGATCGATTGTTTCAGACGGCGACGAAATCTGCCAAATTATCACTACCCTTAGTGGTAATAAGGCTACAAAGAAATACACTATGAGGCTGATAAGCATGCGCACGACCTGCTTCCGGGAACGTAGTCGATAAAATTCTGAAGATCCAATTTGATCTTTTAATTTAACTGAGTCTGAATACAACTTCCGGATTATTCCGCCATACATTAACGTTAATACGCCCAGAGGCACTACAAAATAAACAACAAACATGGCAGATATGTAGAAGAAGTGCCAATATTCGTTAATAATGGTCTTACACACAAAACATGGCGTCCCATCAATAAAAACTTCTTCCAAAAGATGCGTCATAAATACGAACGGTAGTGACGTAATCACAGCTACCACCCACATTATACTTATAAGGAGAAATGGGCGGGGTTTATTACAGTTACGTAATGGTCGACAGATAGCGAAGTATCTTTCCCAGGTGATGACTAGAATAATCAAAGTTGAAGCGTGAAGTACCAGATGTTCTAAATACGGTACAATTTTACCTGAAATGAAAAAAATATATATATATTATAGAGAGAGATGAAATGAATGAGGTTTGACGTCCTAACGTCTTTGATTCTCTGCCATTTTAGCACAAATTATTTCAAGCGCAAGTCGTTAAGATTTTAGGCACACTCCTTTGGCACTCTGTCAGAAAGGCACAGTGATTTAGGCAAAAATTCAGTTAGGCATACACATTTAGGCACATATTCAGCATAATGTAATCTGTATAACATATTCAAAACCTAAATTTCGGAGAATCCTTGGTAAAAGAGACTTGGCCATCTAATTATTTGCTTTTCCAACGGATAGAGCTAAATTTCATTAAGTTTCAGAACGAAATTCCGACGTCTGTTCGCCTTTGAGTTCAGAAAGATTGGTATTCAAATTATCATTCGAAAAAGTGACACCAAGAAATTGATGTCTATTTTGTGAAAAGCAATTATATTGATACTAGGCTATATCTCAATAATGTTTATTGGCTATATTATAACATACAAAGAAAGCTGATTAAAATGAGAAACGAGCTTTTCTGAATTTTTTAAAGAGCTCGTGCTATAGCTTCTTAAAGGGATTGTAAAGAGTTTTTCCCAAGTTTCGAACGCGTATCAGGATACTGATGGAATCGATTTGCAACATCCAATTTTCAATCAGACATCTGTGGCTCTTGCAATTCCATTAAAACTATGGGTATTGTGACGTCACTATCGCAAAGGATCTAATATAACATTAACAGCTTTTGCGATTAGTGACGTCATAAAACGCTTAGTTTTAGTGAAATTGCAAGAGCCACAGACGTCTGACTGAAAATTGGAATGGTGCAAATCGATTCCAACCGTGTTCCCCATACTCATAAAAATTCTAGAAAACCTCTTTACAATCCCTTTAAGAAATGTAATATCAGTTGATAGGAAAACATTCCATTAAATTACATCGCGTTAAAATAAAGTTTTTAAAACCGAATAAATGCTTGCAATTGATATTATTTTATTGTTATGTAATGTGGATACATGAATATCGGAAACTGGTGATTTGAGAAATAAATTGATTTGGTTGAATTCTGTGAAAATTGATTGAGATTTATATGGGAATTGTCAAATGTTGCCAATCATAAACATCCGCTAAAATACAAAACTGTATTCTAGATAATGTTATTGGATAGCGTAATAGGTCGGATGTTTTAACTCGGTTTCCTCCAGTCGGTGATGTAGGCCGGAGCTACTGAAATGGATTTAGTGTCTAGTCGTATGGATTTGGGGCCCGTCGAAAAGTAGGACGGAAAAATCCAGTCATTTCATTTTAGATTGTCAAAAGCCGTTGCATGGATGCATCACATGATGCTGTTGATGAGGCGACACTTTACACTGGCCCAAATACCCTCGTGATCTCAATCGACTTCCTCACCAACGATAATGTGTCTAATGCATCCACAACTTCACAATGTCATTTATTCTAAACTTCCTACTTATACCTTGACTACAATAGCCACTATTCTTGTATTATGGAATACGATGAATTGATTGGATTGTAATACGAATACAGCCAATCAGAGACCTCGACAGAAAGGATGTGAATACAAAGCCATAATGTTTACAGCCTTTCTGTACCCCGCCCGCCCACTTAATGTTTCCAAGAAAATATTTATTTGCATTCATAGCAACTGTAATAATAGAATATAATGTTTATTGACTGTTCTGAAAGGCATAAGTCATTTTTTGTAGCAACTAAGTCTATAATACGCTTAACAATGACGATTTACCATGTGCTTTAGGATGGGACGACATTGCAATAACATCGATATCAGCATAACGACATAAAAATATGAAATTTATACATGTACATATTTTGCTGCGATAAAACAGAACAACCTTTGTGCTGTTACACTCAAGGGACGAGACAGTGTAGTATGTAATATTGATAAAGTTCTTTACTTGGAAGTATTGTTCTCTATTGTTGACTATTTCGCATTGTTCTTGCCTTATCATTTTCCCTATTCCGCCTCCTAGAAGACAAGATTTTTATCAAGAAAATTCACTTAAATGATTTACGACGAAATTCAAAATGGTACAGAACAATAGGTCGTCAAACTCCTTGTATTTCCAATAGCACCTGAAGTGCAGAGCGACCTCAGTTCTAGTCCAGGGAACAAAGGGATAAAAGATGTCCTATACAAGTGTATTCACTTCATTTGACATAAAGTAGTTCATGCGACATTTTCTAATATCAGAAGTCTAGGGTGAAGAAAACAGAGAGGTATAGTTGAGGACATCTTCACAATGTCAAGTTATAATTAACTGCGTCTAAAACCTTGACTTCAATAGCCACATTTTTTGCAGCGATTTGATTGCATTGCATGATAGATAATGCAATCAATCAAAGATTTTAGAAGTCTGACTGAAAATTGGAATGATGCAAATTGATACTATCGGTGTCCCCAATACACACAAAAATTTTAGGAATCTCTTTACAATCCTTTTAAAGTGATACTACGTCTTAGAATGAAACATAAAATTTAATTCTCAAGAATGGTTAATATTCATCAGTGAACTTACCCAGTGTAATAAAGATACAACAGAATCCCTGTAAAATCTGGAAAATTGGAAAATTCATAAAAGTAATTATTGAAAAACGCTTAATCTTGATATTAAGCGTTTTTCAATAGTTAATTGAATTTTTAATTTTATTAGTTTTTTTGGATTTATCGGATTATCTAAGGTTCCTGTTATGTTATTTATGACACCAGGTATATCCACAGATGAATATATGCTCTTATTGGGGAAGTTTAAAATTCTCAAATTTCATGTTCATTCTAAGACGTAGTATCCCTTTAAGATCACAAATTATTTTTTCTGAAATCAAACGTCAATTTTTTTTATGTTACGATAATTTATCAGACAATAAATCTAGGGATAATGTTACATTGTTCACTCTTATCCGAATGAAAACCTAAACTAACGTTACGATGGCAATTATAATTAATAAGTTCTGGACCATCGATATAACAGTCCAGGTTTATCTGGGATAGTCCAGTCTTTTTGCTATATATAACGCTAATATAACACAATTTAAATAAGATTACAGTGATTGACCAATCAGATGATTGGAACAGTTATTTAACGGAATACTGTGTTGATAATTAAAAATTAACATCCAGTACATTGGAACATACATGGTTGGGTTCAAGGCGTTACGAGGTTCCTATTTTCAACCCATTTTTGAAAAGAGACCTAAGTATATATGCCTGACCAGAAATTAACCTCCCTGACTCCCATTTCTGCCGGAAATTATACCAGCTGAATAAATATTGGAATCCCTTTATATCGATCCCCTTTTTATCTTTTCAGAACCTTATTTTCTTCCTCCCCTGTCTTCGAGAACTGTTGGCAAGAAGACTTGTATTGTTAAAATGGTTATTTTTCATCACCGTTAGAATGTCTATGTTCAAAGTTCAATACTAACTCTGTTATCACGAACTTCAGCTTATTTTTTTATCTTGCAGATCTCTTTATTTGTGACACTACACTTAGCAGTAATCATCAGCTTACCTTCCGCTTAAACATTGACTCCTTTCCTTTCTTGTATCACGGAATGATTGGATTGTTCGCCAGAATACAGCCAATCACAGCACTCGACAGAAAGACATTATGGCTTAGTATTGTCATGCCTTTTGTCCATGGCTCCGGTTGACTGTATTTGCTAGCGTACAATCGAATCAAATCACAGCATTTATGAACTTCAGTGATACAAGAAAGGTGGTAATTGAAGTGAAGGTATAAGCCGAAGGTCGTAATTGTGACATTGTGAAGATAGCTAGTGTGTTACATAAACGTTTATATACAATCCTAAAAAGACATTTAGAAGTATCACAGCACAATAAGAAACAACAGTTTTATGGATAAAGACTTCTATTTATTTTTTAAACACAACGTTTCATTACACATACAGGTAACGTTCTCAAGTGATGATTAACCGTAAAAAACCTATAACTACTTANTTTTCTTTTATGGTTAATCATCACTTGAGAACGTTACCTGTATGTGTAATGAAACGTTGTGTTTAAATAATAAATAGAAGTCTTTATCCATAAAACTGTTTTTTCTTAATGTGCTGTGATTCTAAATCTCTTACAAGGATTATATATAAGCTGTTGTTTCTTAACATTAATATAACCTTTAACCCTTGACATACCTCATTCCACTCTGTACCAACTAATAAATAATATGTCCTTCCATGTTTATTAGTGCTCTCGTATGTATATAAATCTTATCTTAAAATAAGGAATACAAATCACATTAGAATAATTGGTTTTCTTTCAATAGTACAATTGGACATAAAAGGAATTCTCTGTTTTATTCGGTTATTGGAGATGAAAGCTTTCGGAACTTTACGTTCTAATTTAGTGTCTGGACAATGTCAATCTGCTTAAATACAGCTATTGGGTGTTTTACTTTCAGTCGCTTCCATTTGACCTAATTCCCTACAAATGTTATGTTTTAAAGATCTCACCCCAGATGAAAAAAGTCATAAAAATGAAATGAATTGAGTTTTACGTCCTATATTATTCACTGTGTGGGGACGGGCAACGCCATGAAATTTTGCCAGTACAGCGGCTCTTTTTCGATTTACATCTGTCGAAGGTACACACTGTATTACACAGGGCCTCGATTTATTGTCTCCTTCGAACGACTAGACACTTTATTCCCCTCTTACCTGCATCACTGACAGGGGGGACCGGGTTGAAAAATCCGAAGGTAGTATCTCGACCCATGCTGGTATTGAACCCTAGACCTTCAGGTTAGCGAGCAAGTGTCTATAACACTGAGCCACTGCGGCTATCTGGTTTTAAGTCATGGACTTCGCTGTAAATCAATTATACATATACATTGTTTCTATGTATAATCCGATCATTGACTATACTCATTGTACACTGCATAGCCTCGTTGTTAGTCTTTAAAAGGAACTGAATAATGCGTATTTATTGTGGTGTATCTGGTGTATCTCTTGATTTTAAAGGGATTAAGAAAATGGGGCCTCTAAAAAAAACTTTGGATTGTGTCTCGGGGACATTTATGTACACCATTTCAATTTTCAGTCAGACGTCATGTACATGACATGAAAACCACGGAACTAACACTGGGACTCTTGTAGTACACAGATAATCTCTTAAGCTGTCTTAATTACTAAAGGGTGTCATCTCTCACTCAATATGGACTCAATTAACCAACAATTATACTATTGTTACATGAAAATTATCTACATATGAACGCTTCACAATCTGATTCCAGAACCACCCCTTGTGATGTCATAAATCAAGATAAACACATCAAATCTAGGTTAGAGGATGAAACATTATCGCAGAAATTGATGTCAACGACTTTTTGGGAGAGCTCTTTTAATAAGAGTTTTATCCAATCAGAAAACCGCAATAATACTATCAGGAACTGCACTAAGTGTATATTGAATTTTTAATTGCTTTTATTGGTCATCCATTTAACCATCGGAAACTTGTCAAAGTGTTCTCTTTCCGTCTCTTATTTCTTGTTTAAGATCAAAATATCCACCCACTTCAATCCAGACTATATATTTCCTGAACTTTCCCGAACTATATTTTGCAGCGTTATTGTTTGTATAGTACCAGTACAAATAGGGCTTGTGTCCTCTTCAAGAAGGAAGACATTTATTGAGGTACACGCAGATGCTCTTTATTCAGAATCCAAAGACCTTCTAGAGAGCCTTGTACCAAGATAAAAGATGACGTTAAATGATTCAAGAAATAGGAATAACTTAATGCTCAAGATCAACTGAAGAAAGAACTAGAGTGTATGTTCTGGATTAATTGGTAAATGTTTAAATATTGTAATAATCTATATATTTATATTTATGTCTTATCAATAAATTGTAGAGTCTCAAGGAAAAACGACTCTTCCTTTTAGCTTTCAAACTTAATTGTTCTTAGGGGCATGTAATCTGGAGGGGCAATGGTGTATTGTTTTAGTTGCAATAATGGAATTGTCGATTGTCATATTTTTCTTGGGTGGAGGGGAGGGGGGCAATCCCTATTTTTTGTACCCCACCCCCTTTTGCCCTCTTGTAGCTACCGAGCCTTCCCCTACCCACCCCCTCCAAGAAAAGAGGCTGGCTCGGCCCCCTCACCTAAAGTTCTTAGAAACGCCACTGCTCCTTAATCAGTTGTTATAAGTGGAGATCTGAATTTGTTTGAGTAACAGACCGATCAAACGGCAGTCAATCACACCGTCAAGACTTACAGAGGACAGAGTTGAATTTGTGATCGAATTCAGAAACGCTAATTGATTAGTCTCAGATTTTTCAATTTATCACGTCGAAAAGTATTTGGTCATCTAATCTTAAACGTAATGACTCTTCTCTGGACTTTCCTTCAAGGGTAAAGCAAAACTGAGGAATTTTGGCAATGTAAGTATAAGAAAGCAATGAAAAACACGAGAAATCGAGAAAGGGAGGAACAGGGGAAGAAAAAATGGTTTAAAAAAATGATACAAAGGTGGAATAATCCACTTTAAACCATTTTTCATAACTTTCTCACCTTCTTCATGTTTTGCCTCTGGAAATGGCAGCAGTCGGCTTCCATAATTAACAAACATCACATCTAACATTCTGACATGTCACGACGTGATTAAATAATTCAACATGATTATTTTTGACAACGAAACGAAATGAGAACTATGGAAGCCAGTTGTGGTCATTTCTACTCCTATAGAAGTCGCGGAAGTGAGGATAACGAAACGAAAAATGAACTGTGTTGAATTCCCAAAATATCAATTGACCTCTTAGTGATAACCGTAAAAAAAATAATTTATCAACAAGAATAATACTTTGTACGTTGAGCTTTATATTCTGATAAAAGCATATGGTTCGAACTATCACGTAATCATCTGATTAATTAGTGATACAATATCATTTAACACGTGACAGTATAAATAGCAAGGATAGGAGTGAATCAACTACTACGACAACCACCAACTATCTAGTTTGCGATATCAGGATCCACTGGAAGCGAACGTCAATTTGTCATCTACCATCCAACCGTAATCGTTGTCTTATTAGAAATTTAAGACTACATGTGCAGCTTCTTCACTTTGACTCTGATTTGCTAATTGAGCATACCTACTTGATCAACATGCTGGTTGCTTTAATTCTACTTTTTCAACAAATAGTGTTGGGTACAGCAGAACTTATAGTCTACCCGGTAGCTACAGGCTATATAGCATCAGATAAATTCTCTGTCCAGATTAAACAAGGTTCAGAAGCATTTCAAGACAGTTTTGTATACATCAGTCATTCCAATAACCGCGTGGGACAAGACTATAGAGTAAGACCTGACAGAACCTTGTCCTGGTCATCATTTGGATTCACTGAATGTCCGGTTCTTGTAATTGTAGTAACCAACAGAGATTTTAATGAGTGCCTGGTACGCCCAAAGAGTTATGGAATTACTTGTTCGAAAACAGGGGAGAAAGCAGCATCTTTTGAAATGACATCTAACACACAGAAGATCTCAGTTGAATTTGATTATGATTACGGAGGCCTGCATTCGGATATAGTGGATAAGCTCCTGATCTTCGCCAATCCTCAAGAAACGAATGTCCCAGACCGTACGGACCCGAATGTTATATATTATGAATCTGGCGTATACAATCTGCATGGCCCACTCGAACTGAGACCCAATATACGACATGTGTATCTAGCTCCCGGTGCTGTCGTTCACGGCGGTTTTAAGACTTCGAGAGGACAGTCTGTCACTATAAGTGGTCGAGGAATATTGTCGGGATCAAAGTACGAATTCAAAGATCGACGATTTCCTTGGGCTCTAGTAGATACTGATGAAGGAAGCAATCACACAGTAGAAGGCATCACGATGGTCGATCCGATGAATTTTTTCTACAGAGGACTGAGTTCTTTTAATGTATTAAGAAACATCAAAACAGTTGCTGCTTGGACGCACCACTCTGCCGGTGCAGCGCTTGGACCTCATGGACTGATAGAGGATTCATTCTTTCATGATAACGATGATTCTATTAAGGTAATTTCTTACTTTTTTGAAAGGGAAAGGCACTGACCATAATATTGTACTTTTAATTACATGTTACTTTTCGGATCAACGAAATAAGCCTCTGATTTTAGCAATGAGTTATTGCTCTATAGTGGTAGGCATTTGGCCCGGCAAGATGTTTAACATTCAATCACATCAAAAGTCAAGAGGTGCTTTCGATTTTACCAAACAACATTTCGCACGTAACTATGTGTGGTGAATTTATTACAATTGAACATACCCATATATCTCTTCCAGGCCTACAATACCGGACTGATAGTTCGACGTTGTGTAATTTGGCAATCCCAGAATGGTGCCGTCTTCCAATTCGGCTGGTGGGTACAGAGAAGAGCGAGGGACATTTCAATAAGCGATATAGACGTCATACACACAGATTGGTGTACGTTCAAGAATCAAAACTGTGGGCTATCACCAAACAATGCAATATTGAATGTGGGTCGGAGAACTAAATTTTTCAGTGTCACCAATGTGACTATTTCAGACGTTAGAGTAGAAGGTCAATGTCCAAGAATATTCTATTTCGTTTTGGAACCAATGGCGACTGGTACGCTGACTAATTTTCACCTAAACAGATGGTCTATCGAGTCGCAGCCTGAGACTACGATGCTATACAATGAACTTAGAGGGTCTTCTGGAGGTAGACTCCAGAATTGGTTCTTCGATAATATCACAATAGCAGGGCAATGTATCGATAACCCGACATCGGCGAATATTCGTGTTGATCCAAATACAAGATCTGATATCTATTTCAGATGCTCACAATAAGCTATGTCACTAGTGACACGATTTCAGTTGCCCTCGAAAATATTTCAGTTGCCTAAAAATGAAAATGAAACGACGAAAATAGCTTCAAGATTGATTCCCTTATTTTTATTTATGAAAATGAAAATGAAAATTCTTATATGAATAGAAAGTAGATGTGTTCTAATGACTTGAAATGTTGATTAATTAGAAGAGAATTACCAGCAGAATTTCAATGAGTGACCGATCAAGAAAGGTCAAAAGTCTATCTTTGTTTATCCAGACTGTACATACATGGACATTTATGATTGGTTAAAACTTTTACTTATATGCAATAAGAACATACTGATATGATTAAGAATACATGATAAATCATTAGAAACACCAATTAATCAAAAACCCATCTTTTA